ATGTGTGATGGATTTTATTCAGTGCTAAGGCAATAGATTATCACCCTACCGCTGTAAATCTTCTGTCATGTAATAATTTAGCATCACTTATAGGAAACGAAGTCTCATTTATAAAAACCTACACTTCTTCAATGACTGACAAACATAATACAAAATTTTCTTGCTCTAACACTTGTCATTTCATGACATAGTTTTGAAGTCTGAGAAGTCAAGTTTCTGCTTCGTTTTTCAATGACACACAACACCTAGTTGATGACCGAACAATAATTGCACCTCTTGAATATCATGTGCAAAGATTGAAGGAGTCCCAAAAAAATATTATTTCACTTTAATGCAAGGCTCAACCATTGACGATTGTGCATACTAGAGGGACACAACTGTCTCAAAATCTATGCATTGAGGAACACAGTTGGAACCCCCTCCACACATTGAAGTTAGTTCTCAGGAAACTAAGATTATAAACACTACTAGTTATACACATTCATCCCTTATAGTAAAGCCCAACAACAAGCATATAACATGTGTGAAGAACATAGTTCAACCTCACATAATCTATGACGAGTTACACTGCCTAATGCAAGAAGAGTCTCCTTAAAGTCAGATAAATCATTACATTGCTCATCGTAATTCTCAAGAATCATATCCAGCTGCTGAGATCATCTTGCAACTCCTTATTCTAATAAGATTCAAGTCACAAGTAATGATTCTTATGATGAAATGTATGATCTACATGAACACATCTATCATTACAAAAATATTATACAACGAGCTTCTTACACGTTCTTTTATTAAGTTTTTCTGACAACCTTTAAAGTCCAATTGTGTACTTAGTTTTATTCACTCCCATTAAGAATTGTGTATACCTTTGATGAGTTTACTAAATTATATATTGAGCAATTTGTTGCAAACTGACGTATTATCGAAGTCTCTTCTTACCTCTTTAGAATTCATCAAAGTGAGAGAGGTTTGCTGTAATATTATTTTTTAAGCACATTTTGATGATTGGGGGGTGGTCTGGAATGATCCTTCTCGTTAACATCCCATGCTTATGGCTGGGTAGTCTTCCATCATTTCATTCAGACATCAAGTCTAAAAGAACTAATTCTAGTTCGAAAGTTAACATTCACTACAACTCTAAGTTGACCCTCATGTCAATATCTTAAATATGACCACAAGATTAACCACTGAGTGGAGATATCCTGCTAGAAAGCACTTCTTCATCACCCCCTTATCATATTGGAGTTCCTACTTAATTAAATCAAGAAGCTTGCATCCTTAATATCGTATACATATGTTATTTTACATAAATTGGGCATAATCATTCAAATTATACCTTTATTGATGGATAGTAAACTAAAAAATCAATAATAAGAATGTTGTCAAACACCATTCTTGATATGGTTGCAACCATATTTCTGAGAAAATGTATGATTCCTATTGACCCGCACATTATACTCGAGGAACCCAAAATATTTATGACACCTCATTATGGGCTTAACGGGTCTGAGGAAGACTCAATTTAACCTTTTTCAATACAGACTATGGTCATTGAGGAGACGCTTTGGCTAAACAACCAATAATGTATTAAAAAACTTTTATGGATTACAACTCACTTTTTCCATAACCTCTTACCATGATATGTTACAATTGTCGAACAAGATGTTCGGACCAACAAACCACTCTTATGTAAGGGATTATGACAGAATGAAGGAGAAATGAGATTTAATATATTGTATGGCTTAGAGTTTTTAATCAATAAATTAATATTTGTGATCAAGTTTGTAAAATTATTTATTAATCATTTTATTTGAAAATCTTGATACTCATTTAAATTTTTACCTCGTTTAAAAACTCATTCAATTCTCATAAACAAATTAAGTTCAAACATTGGAAAATTTGACCAATTTGAGCTTAGACACTATGTGAAAGTCTGATATGAACAAGTTATAATCATACCAAACCAAACCTGAACTATGATATACTCGGCTCGATTACAACCTTATTCATACCTCATTTATTCTTCATTCATATAATCACAATGATTCTATTTTTGCTCATAATGACTTTAATGCATAAGTAACCTTGTTTATTGTTGCATAGTCTTGTTGTTCACATTTTATGAATTTAATATCTATTATTTCTTTTATAGTTTGATGTGACAAATCTCATTATTTCAGTTTTCATAATTTCTTATAAATATCGATGAATCTTTTGTAATTATATTCTCGTGTTGACTCTGATGCAAGAAATATAACTAATATTATAATATTATTATGTCGGTATTAAACCATTTTATTGTCGCTAACCAGACCGATGAATCCTATAAAGAAATCAGTGGATTTTTATGGGATTGATGCATGCCTTTCATTGTTTTAGGGTATCATAGTAAATTGACTATATATAAATTTAATTATATGTATATCAATGTATATATTGAAATTGTATATTGTAATGATTGATTATTCATATATGTACCAAAACACCTGATATTGCAACATGTAAGTATATACATAAAAATACATGTGTTTAAGTAACTCTTATTCATGATCATAAGCATGTGATAGTTCTAGTAAATTCTTATATACACATAATAAATTGTCCATATTTATTGATTATACAACATGCCCCATTTTCGTTATCGTTTATACTATAAATAAAGAGTAGTTATTCACTTATTTTGATTTTCAAGCTCACCCATTGATATTTTTTATATAACAAGTTTCACCTAACCACTCACTAGACCATCTCGACTGCAACAGACTTTTTAGATTTAGATTTACTTTTGGTATTTTTTCATTTTCATATGAGTTATTATATTTTCTTTTATAGGATTGGTAGTTGTTTCTTTATTTTCATTTTAGTTTATTTCAGTTGTCTCATTTTCTTTCAGTTGTATTCTTATTTATGGAATAAAAAATGAATTATTTTTATTTATTTCTATTATTACTTGCATATTCTTTTTCTTTTAATAATACAAAACATGTTTAATTATTCTTATCATGCACTGTGTTTGCCGGGGTGCATCGCTTTTTAGACTCAGAGTGTGACAAAGTTTTTCACTTATGATCGAACATGACATCAATGAATGTACCGCCTTGCCGGCTCGTGATGTGACATAAAGTTTCTCACTTGTGATCAAACATGACATCAACGAATCGTGTATCACCTAACTGATGAAAGTACTAGCCTACGATGAATCCAATCCTGAGGTGATTGCTTCACTACTCTGTGGGGCTACATAACTTAATGTTTTTCCTACCCTAAAAGGTCACAATTTATTTTAATCATATAATATGATATATCCAGAGAGAAAAATCTCGTTGGTTAATTATGTCATTGGAAAAGTGGGAGAATTGAATACCGGGAGACTTGGCGGTTGCTCCAGAGCATGTGTGTATGGACAAAAAACATGCATGACACTTCTAATAATTCAAATTTTTTTATTATTTCATTATACTAACCATTTCATAATAACTCATAGAAGCCTCTATGAACATCCTCTTTTAGCTTTTGTTGCAGCAAGTGTAGATCACATAACCAAGCCTTTATAATTATATTTCATTTATTGAAAAGTACTAAATCTTAACTTAATTTCATCCTCAATCGATATTTTCTTGTGAAAAAAGTTCCTTTTAGTAGAGAGGCATCAATATTTCAACATTCACATTTTTTATTTGTGCATTTATAAGAATGATAAGATAAGACTTTCATTAAAAGAAATTGAAAAAAAATAGATCATACTCCTCCATCATCCACGATATATGCTGATCATTCATACTTTCAGACCACCCCTTGATGCTATTATAATAACAACTATCACCTATTTATTTCTTAGTAGCTTACCTCTAGGCTATAATATACTATATAATGCGTGTATGTGTGGAGTTGTGATGATATTACAAAAGAAATTAATGTTCAAAAAATTTGAGGTAGCTATTGCAATTCTATTTTTATAGGCTATAATATACTATATAATGCGTGTATGTGTGTAGTTGTGATGATACTACAAAAGAAATTAATGTTAAAAAAATTTGAGGTAGCTATTGCAATTATATTTTTATTTTTTTTTCAAAAAGCCATATCGTAACTTTCTCGCAACCATTGAACTTAGCTAGGTCACATTGCAAAGTATAGCTTCATAACATTATTTTCTTAAATAAGCAGACAAAATACAATTTTGTCAAACTCTGCATAGTGCGGTGCAATACCGTATTGTCACCACACTATTGCCCCATACATACTCTAAACTCTAATCTCTTCATTATTCAAAAGAATAAAATTTTCTCGCAATAAAAATTACATAAAATACATAATTTAATAGTTGAATAATACAACATTACTGAAAATTAATTTGATGGTTATGATGGAATTATGAATATGTATTGTACACAAAGAACATGTCCTCATAAATCTCGAGTCAATCTAAGCGAGAAAAAGAAAAACACGACAAAGCTGGACCTACAAAAATTCGCCTCAGCGGCCCATAAGCACCTATCTGCTGATGCCAGCCATAGACCTTTGAACAAATTTAACAATATAAGTGCAAATCCTCTAAGAGCTTAAGTTTACTCAACTATCATGAATTCCCCCAATAGAAATTCAGGATTGTCAACCAACCAACCAAATCATTTCATTTTTTACACAAAATCGGTCTAAGGGGAAATATTTATGTACTGACCATTATGTGCGCAATAATCTCTCAATAACATCTATTTTGTGGTTATTAGGGGTTATTGGGAGACTATTGAAATATTAATTTCAATAATACATAACCGTAATAACTTTCTAATAATCTTTGATGTTACTACTTCAATATTATTCATAAATTTTTATAAGATTATTATGCGTACACACATAAAATTGAGTACCTAATGTGTATGCAAATATGGATGATAGGGGTGACAAAAGGATTCCGAGGCTCGCTCCCAATACCTCGCCCAAAAAGAAGTTCATGCGGGCCCGCCCTTCGTCCAGCTACCATACTCCCAATCGTACGATCGCCTCGATAAAATAGACAAGAAAAAAAAAAAAAAGGCGATTTCGGCTTAAATTTAGAGCTTAGCTTCCATTTCGGAGACCCCAAGGAGCATCCTGAGACTCCCCCGCCCAAATCCATACGAAACCCCCAAAATCGTCTTCTTCTGAGGCCATGGCGGTTCCGGCGGCCGTAGTAGTGGTTCCTCTCGGTGTTCTCTTCCTCCTTTCGGGGTTGATCGTGAACCTCATTCAGGTTAGAATCTATTTCGCGCCTTTACTTGGCGGATGTGGTTTGACCTGCCATCGATCGGCCAGTTTTTTTTTTGATTCGAGTCTCTAGTCTCAGCAGGTTTTGACATTTTGTGCTATTGCATTTGATTTCTTCACTTATTATATTTTTTTAATGGGCGCAGTATTTATGTAGTTGTTACCTTCGATTCATTTTTTGCTCCAGGCTACCTTTTATGTGGCGATACGGCCGATATCTAAGACTACGTACAGGAGGATCAACAGGGTGTTGGCCGAATTGCTTTGGCTTCAGCTTGTTTGGCTTGTTGATTGGTGGGCAGGAGTCCAGGTATTTGTTGCCATTTTCTTTTTTTATTGTTTGATTTGGCTATTTCCTGCCATGGAAATCGAGGGGATTGCTGATACTAAGTTGTACCGTACGTTTATGTTACCCTTTATCTATGAACCGCCTCTCGAAGATGGCTTTTAACAAGCCATGCATTTTCATTCTGAAACTGTTCTTATCAGAGACTATCATCAAGTGCGTGAATAAACTAGTGTCGGTAAGCCATGCTCTATCTGACTGCATCAAAGTGATTGCGTTATCATTACTTACCGTTCGAGCTTCTCTACTCCATGGAATTTCTATAAGTGAAAGCATAGTGCATGTTTAGCGTTGTGAATTAGTAAACGACAGACCCTTGTGCTTGTTTCAACTGCCTTCAATGAGCTGAGGAATGGGAAAACACACTTGAATTACTATAATTAATCAATTTATTGGTGCTCCCATTCTTTCCTCACGATCAACTTAAATATGTGGATGTCATTCTATATGTTCTTTTGCACAACAACAACAACAACAACAACAACAACAATAAACCTTTATCCCACTAAGTGGGGGTCGGCTGTATAAATCCTTTTTCTCCATTGAGTGCTATTGAGTGTCATATTTTCATTTAATTCTAATAATATTTTCATTTAATTCTAATAATTAATTTAAGATCATTTTCTTATACAATATGCCCAAGTCTAAATGTTCTTTTGTAAACATAAAAGAAAAGCTAAATCATTTCCTTGCCACATTTTTCTTTCACTGTGCTGTAGAGTTTTTTTTTGTAACATTATCCTTTTAGATCTCTGGCTAGAGTTAATGGCATTTTTTTTGAGCTATACTTGATATATTTATCAATGAGCTTGCATGATGTGATCTAATTTCCTGTTAAAAAGGAATTCATTTATGCTTAACAAGTATGATATTTGCTTCTAATTGTAGATTCGCTTATATGCAGACTCTGAATCCTTTCAGTCAATGGGTACAGACTGAACCTTTTTCATTAATCTAATTTGTCACCATTGACCTACTAATGACCAGATGGTTCTCTCTGTATGCTCTGTCATTGGATGGCATTGCAGGCAAAGAGCATGCTCTCTTAGTCTCTAATCATAGAAGCGATATTGATTGGCTAGTTGGATGGATTTTAGCGCAGGTGCATTTTTTTTTACTTCTTATATTTTCTATTCAGTGCGTATATGGCGCATGCTGGCATTCATTTTATAAAATGGGCATTTACATACACACCACCCAATTCCTATGTATTTACTTTTGTAACACCTAAATTTTACATTTATACCACCCAAATCTTTCATTATCACATAAAAAATACCACCAGTTTAAGTTTTAAAAAGTAAAATACACCTTTTCATGCATAGGTGTAAAGATTGAAGTGTTAGATATGCAAATATATAGGGATTGTGGTATTTATGTAAATATTCCTTATAAAATCATATTAGGTCATGGTTGTTATTCTTCATTGTTCATCCATGCCAAAGAAGTTACTTTCATGTGCTTACCATATATGATAATTTTCATACTCGCTGATTCTATTGTTACATCAGCGTTCAGGTTGCCTTGGTAGCGCATTAGCTGTCATGAAGAAATCATCAAAGTTCCTTCCTGTGAGTTTTCTGACAGATCTATCATAATTTTATGAAAGAGACTGCATAAGCTTAGGCTGGGTTTTATAATTGCTTATTTTTATTTTTTTTTATATTTTTTCGCATAGAATTGTTTTGTTTTTGTTAATGAAGCAAATTGCCTCATTTTGCAGTAAACTAACGGTGGTAATTTTTTTTAGTGTCCTTCATACACATTTTGCAAAATCTGAAGCTGCTGTATGCTTGGCTCTTTTCTCCATCGATTTATTTGTATGATTGGTACTTGATTTTTCTTGAACTAGTTATATATGATATATTCCATAAAAATTGGTGACCATGACGTCATTTGTATAATTCATTAATGTCATTTACTATAATCTATTTGATTTTATCTCTGTTATACTTGTCTTATTAGATGACATGATAGTTCATGCTTGCTTTCTCTTTCTTTTAACAATTATAGAAAGTGCATGGTACCATTTTTCAATTTTTTCTTTTTTTTTATCGAGTTTGTATTAATTAATCCATGCAACAGAGTCTACACATTTTTACGAGAGTGAGAATGAAGCTTGGGCATATTGTAAATTGTAATGTTTATCTTAAGGATGTTCTAAATTAACAAATTCTTAATGTCAACAGTAAAGTGGTGACTATATTAGTCCGTATACATGCTGTGAATCTTATGGTAAAATTAAATTTCTTAAAATGATAATGTTGTTGATTGTGTTGTGTGTGTGTGTCATTGGGTAACTAAAAAAAATTGCCGATAACTTAAGTTGAATGTTGTGAAAATGGGAATTTAAGGATGGATGCATCGTAAAACTTGGATAAATAAAGGAATGATTATATTAGTGAGATTGTTTTAAGTAGCACATATTGAAGATAATGTTGTTGAAAATAGACTTAAAGAATTTTGATATGGGCAATGAAGTGCAGGAAATTCACCTTTTAGATGGGCTGATAGGTCTAGTGCCAAAGGAATAGGTATAGAACTTGGGCAACACGGAGAAAAGTTGTTCAGATGTATTCACAAAGAATGGTTTTAACACCTTAAGCAACACTCAAACACTCAAATGTAACGGGGAAAAGTGAGGTTTGATAAAGTTGACCCAAAGTAGTTGGGATATGGCTAAAGATGATGAAGTGTCAGTCATTTGTGGGTCTAGTTTCACAAGTTTAGTTGTTTACTATTAAAATGCATTTTAATCTTGGTTATTTGTTTGTACTGTCTCTTAAGATTATAGATATTTGTATTTTACATCTTGTTGCATCCTGGTTAAAGTGTCAGTCATCTTGTTGCATCTTGATATATTTCGTGTATGGTTTTCAAGTCCTCTTTCTTGGCCATCCACGAAACTCAAGGGCACCTATGGCATCATATCTAATTGATTTGGTTTTTCATTCGTAGGGTTTGATTTGTCTCTTATATCAGATTGCAATACCATCTTGCATCGTATTTGCTATAGGGACTAGGTTGCAATTATGGACGCTCAAGGTGGGAATCTTTAGCTAGTTTGCCTGTTAAACATTATCTTGATATCCTTTTGTTATGCTTGCTTGATCAATTGAAGTGTGTTGCTATGTCAAGTTGATTCTGTGAACATAAGCCCGTTTATGTCTTGTTATATCAATCTATTTGAGGTTTACGATCACGTGATCTAAATCCTTGCACATTAGAAAACCCAATGTGGGCATTATTTGCAAATGGTTTTGTAGTAAATTTCTAGTGGAAATTTCTCACTGGTTACTTCTATAGATTCATGCATGTTGAACCGAGTATCTAGCATACATCATACCCTGTTTGCTTTCATATCAGATTGCAATCAGATTGCAATACCATCTTGCATCATATTTGCTATAGGGACTAGGTTGCAATTATGGACGCTCAAGGTGGGAATCTATATTTAGTTTGCCTGTCAAACATTAGCTTGATGTGATTTTGTTATGCTTGCTGGATCGATTGAAGTGTGTTCCTAGGTCAAGTTGAGACATATGCCCATTTATGTTTTGTTATGTTGATCTACTGGAGGTTGACAATCATGAGATCCACATCCTTGCCTATTAGAAGGCTATTATGCCTTACCCAGTAAAGGCACAAGTCATGACAACTTGATTTTGTTTTGATCTGAGGCAAGGCCGTGGTGTGCATTATTTGCAATTGCTATTGTAGTACATTTCTACTGGAAATTTTTCACTGGTTACTTCTGTGGATTCATACATGTTGAACCAAGTGTATAGCATACATCATACTCATTGTTTGCTTTCATTGTAGATTCTTCTTTTAAATTTTTTTTTGCCAACGTTGAATCGAGCATATATAGCAAAAATCATACTCGAAATTCTTAAATCCCAAATCTATGTTTTATTTATTATTAATTTTTTTGAAAATTTTCTCATTTGGAGTTTTTCTTCTATCGTGCATTAGGTCTCAATATCATCTCGCACACCATTTCAGTGGGTGGAACTCTGAGAAAATACTGAAGTAAATCTGAGAAAATTTTGGATGATTTGATAACTTGGGAAACTCTTGATTAATTTAGTTCCATCTTATTCCATGTTATTTTATTTTTTATTTTAGAATATTTTCTTTCCTAGTTTAAGTTATATATATTTGGAAATTGTGGAGAGATTGTTTTCCGTTATAGATATGTAGTTGTTAACGAGGGCGCTTAGCATAAGGGCAAATTTGTCTTTTTACGCTAAGGGCAATTTAGTCATTTAATATTATCATTGTTGGATATAAATAGACTTGTTCTGGCTAGAGTTAGGTTTTATGATGAGATTGAGCTGTGAGTCTTAGGGTTAGGTTTTGGGAGAGATCTCCTACTCTCGAATGTAGGAACTGGGACAAACCGCCTACCTCTCGAATTGTAGGTGCTCATCTTTTGTATTTGTGTGAGTTGTTGGGATTATTGAGATAAAATTTGTGTTTGCCCTAATTTTTTTGTGAAAAGACGTTGGATTTTGACAACGAATCGTGGCCGTATCCTGCATGTGAATAATATAATTAAGAGAATTATTCCTCTCAAAATTCATTTTCTACATGATATCAGAGCCATAAGAAACAAACCCTAATTTTTTTTAAAACACCGGAGCCTCTTCAATAGCCATCCATTGCCGAAATCTTCCTTGCAACCGCTAGTCTTCCTGCGGGCTCTCTATCAGGGCGTCTCCCTACAACCTCTAGTGTTGGAGCTCTTCCCAGACCCTCCTACCATCTTGGTTCCTGGTATCACATCAAGCAGTTCCTATTGATGTTTCCTACTAGTTGGCTTTAAAAGGATTACAACAAGGATTTTTCCCGAGGAGCGGTAATGGTTTTTGTCCTACTAGTTGCCTACCTCCAAGAATTGAAATTCTACAACACAGACAACCAAGCGAGCAACAATAGTAGTGGTTCTGTCCCCACTTGTTGGCTATCTCCAACGACTAAAATCCAATAGTATAGACAACCCAACAAGTAGTTTTTTGAATTCCTTCCTCTTCCATAATTCTAACTCAAGGCGTGATAGAGTTTATAACCAAGTACAAAATGAAGATGTCAAGCTCGACTCTGAAGGTTATTTCTAAATCAATGATCAGGATTCTGCTCAAACAACTCCTGAACTCTATAACTTTACCACAAATCATAAATTAAATGATCATAATTTCCTTCAATGGTCCCAATATATGTTTATGTGTATTTGTGGTAAATGTAAAGAGGAATATCTCAGGGGAGATGACACAGTTTATGAGATCCCTAACCCCCAACCACCACATATGGAAGAATTAAAATCATATGTTTCTATTTTGGCTAGTCAATTGAATGACCATTGAAGTGGGAAAGAATTTCTTGCTTTAAAAAACTAGTAAAAAATTTAGGAGGTAAGAGAAACATATTCCAGTACAGAAAACACCGTAGATATGTTTGAGATCGAAAACTAAGCTTCATGACCCACGTCAAGGTGAACTAAGTGTCACCCAATACTTTACTTCAACACATTGACAAAGTATTGATTTCAATTCGATATGTTTTAGACACGTGTGTGGAAATATCCACATGATGTCGTGATGTTTAAATTCATCATAAAAAAGATGAGAACCATCAAATTCTTAATTGGACCAAATCAGGATTTGGATGAAGTGAGGAGGATCATGGTAATAAAGCTTCTTCCATCTACTCGTGAAGCCTTTGCCGAAGTTAGGAGGGAAGTGAGTTGAAAGAAGCTAATACTGACTAGAAATGGGGGGCTCACCAAGTACTAAAAGCTCTTCTCTATACACCCATAATTCTTCCCAGGTCTAAAAGATCAAGAAATTTTCCCACATGTGACTATTGTAAGAATATTGAGCATATAAAAAATAAATGTTAGAAACTTCGTGGAAAGCTCATAGACTGAAAACTTGGATAGGGTAGAAATGATCAAGAGAAAAAAGCTAGTATTGCTACCATATCCGAAGGGTCGACTAAACCATTCACCGAGGAGCAGCTTAAAGTACCGAGAAAACTTCTTGGAGGTAATTCAGAGGAGCACACCAACCTCTAGACACTCTAAGGTAATATAGTTTTCTCTCGTCTTGCCAGTAATGGGAGAGTTAGAACTTGGATCATAGATTCAAGAACCTTTGATCATATGATCGGAGACATCAATGCTCTAGTAAACTATCAAGAGGCTTCTACATCTAGATTGATAAAAATTGCAGATGGATCACAGTCAATCATTACTAGGAAAGGAGATGTGGAGCTCTCTTAAGATTTTTTTTTTCTCTATTTTATATGTTCCACAATTGGATTGCAATTTGGTTTCAATTAGTAAGCTTACTCATAATCTTACATGTATAACTAAATTCAAATTCTTGTGAATTTCAGGTGGTGGAGTCAGGAAAGTTGATTGACAGTGCTGAAATGTATCAAAGCTTGTACCCGCTCAAGGAAACTCTATTTCTAAACACACAACTAATTTTACTTTCATATCTACCTCAAATTTTTGAGCCCGTTGAGTCCTTGTCTGTCGAAAATTAAGTCTTGTCATAGCATTGACGTCCGAGTCATCCTAATTTCAATTATGTTGTTAAGGTGTATCCTCATTTATTTATCAATAAAAAAATCTAGTTTTATCAATGTGAGTTGTCAACTTGCCAAACACACTAGAAATAATTTTTCTCTAACCTAGTAAAAACCCTTGCTCCATTTTGCCATTATCCATAATGATATTTGGGGATGTTCAAAGGTGAAAATTCTAAATGTGGTAGATGATTTCTCTTATTTATCGACGATCACACTAGAACCACAAGCTATTCCTAAAGAAGGATAAATTTGAAACAATCCAATTCTTTTAAACCTTCGATGACATGATTCAAACTAAATTTTAATGTAAAATTCAAATCTTCAAAATTGATAAAGCAAAAGAATTTTTCAACTCCATACTTGGGCCCCTTCTTTAAAAAAATTGGAATTATCTATGTTAGTTCATGTATTAATACCCCACAATACAATGAGTTAGTTGAGAGAAAGAACAAATATCTCCTTTAGGTATCCTGCTCAATCATGATGTGCCATCAAGTTCATAAATATTTTTGGGGTTAAGAAGTTCTTATTGTAACATATCTTATCAAGCAAATTCCTAAGTTGGGTACTTAACTTCAAAATTTCTCTTGATGTTTTGATGGTTACTTGCCCCCACACCAGAACTTTCTCTTCTATTATCCAACTTAAAATATTTGGTTGTGTATCTTTTGTTTACGTTCACTCCCAAAATCGCCTAAAACTTGATCATAAGTTTAACAAGTGTATTTTTCTTGGGTATGCTGCCAACAAAAAGAAGTATAAATGTTATTCTTCTGTTACCAAAAAATACTATAATTTTTTCAAAGTTGAATTTTTTGAAAATCAATTTTACTTGCCCAAATCTAATATTCAGGAGGTGAGTGCAAATGAACATCATTTTTGGGATGTATTGGATGACATCTACACTGCCTCCCCTCTCGATTCATCTATCTCTATTTAGGTTGAGGAGGGCCCAACTAACTCAACCTGAAGTACATAACAAAGAACTTTGTGTGTACCTAAAGAGGAAGCAAAATCTTGAGTAGATGGAAAACAACTTGCAGTGACATAACTGCTCAAACCAAAACCTGAGTCTACATTCACTTGAAATTTTGGTTATGGAGGAATCTAGTATTCATGAATTATTCCCTCAATCTTCTGATGCTGATGATAAGGAAAACTGTATTAGATATCCAATTCGGGAGTATGTAGCTTATAGGAAGCTATCCTCATCCTATATAGCGTTTATGTCTAAGCTTGATAGTGTAGATTTTTAAATCCATTCTTGAAGCTCTTGAAATTCCAGAATAGTGGAAAACATTGGAAGTGGATATTCGAGCACAGCATAATGATACGTAGATTCTTACTAAACTCTCTCAGGATAAGAAGAAAGTTGAATGCAACTGGGTGTTCAACATCAAATACATAGTTGATGTGAGCATTGAGAGATTCAAAATCAGATTTGTTGCAAAGAAGTTTCACGCTAGCCTATATGATTGATTATTAGGAGACATTCGCACCAGTTGCCAAGTTGAATAATACCAGAGTTCTCCTTTCTGTAGCAATTAACAAGGAATGGGGACGACATCAACTTTATATAGAAAATATTATTTTGAATTGGGATCTGGAAGAAGTGTACATTAAAATATTACCGAGACTTGAAAATGATTCCAACAAACATGTATGAGGAAATCTTGTTACATGAAGTAGTATGAAGCAAGCTATTGTTTCTAGAAGTAGGGCAAAATCAAAGTATAGGACATTTATCTGAGAATTTGTGAACGAATCTGGATTAAAAAATTGTTAAAGGAACTGAGATGTTCCTCCAATAAGTCCATACAATTTTTTTGTAACAGTCAAGCAACTATCAATATTGCCAATAATCCTATGCATCATGACAAAACCAAGCATATTGAAGTTGTTAAACACTTCATCTCTTAAATGGTTAATTGGGGGAATTATACCACTATGCTACATCACGACACATCAATAAGTTGCTGATATCTTCACAAAAACTCTTCCTTTAAGCAACTTTTCAATGGTCAATACCAAGCTTGGTCTCTCCAACATCTGAGACCCAGCTTGAGGGGGAGTGTAAAAATCTGAGAAAATTCTAAAGGAAATATGAGATCTCGGAGGACTTGATTGGATAACTTAGAAAACTGTACATTAATTTATTCCCTTTTTGTTTTATGTTTTTTTATTTTTTTATTTTACAATATTTTCTTTCCTAATTTTGGTTAGGTATATTTGGTAAGCTTGTAAAATATGAGAGATTATTTTCCCCTACATGAATAAGTTACTGATATCTTCACAATAACTCTTCCTTTAAGCACATTCTCAGTGGTCAATACAAAGCTTGGTCTCTCTAACATCTGAGACCCAGCTTGAGGGGGAGTGTGAAAATCTGAGAAAATTCTGAGGGAATTATGAGATCTTGGAGGACTTGATTGGGATAACTTAGGAAACTCTTCATTAATTTATCCCCTTTTTATTCTATGTTATTTTATTTTTTTATTTTATAATGTTTCCTTTCCTAATTTTGGTTAGAAATATTTGGTAAGTTTGTAAAATATGAGAGATTATTTTCCCCTACATGTGAATAATAGAATTAAGAGATTATCCTCTCCAAACTTATTTTCTACAGAATGCATACTATATAGTTATGAAAAGTGAAATTTGTTGTAAGCTGGCATTGGCTTGAAGGGGACTTGTAGAATTTGCTTCCCTCAACCTTAAGGAAAAAATGTAGAGGGAGTTTCTCCATCATTTTGTTGTTAGAGTGATCTTTCAGTGACATTATATGTTTGTTGGTTATGCTGCAGTGATGAATGCTTTTTAAGTTAAATCTACCATAAAAAAAGTAACTTTTTGATGGCAACTAACGGTGCAATAAAATTGATAGCATTATCAAAGGATTAGAGAGATATAATGAATTGACATGTTAATTTGGGTACTTGTCAAGATGGACACATTCTGCATGTTAAACTGCCTTTTGAGGAGCTTTATGGGATTTTATGGGCAGGGGCTTCCCTGCAATCTGATAAAAATTACCAGTAAGAAGTTCATGTCATGCTTTATTTCTTATGTCAATGCTATTACTATTTTCATAATGTTAAAATGCTAGTCAGTCTTACATATGCTCTTCTTTTAGTTTGACTTAGTTCCTGTGTAACTTGTTTATAATATTGGAACATATTTAGGCGCCAACAATGTTAATGGTGGTTTATAATTGATGTCTGCAAGGCAATATGGTACAGGAAGTCACCCAATAATACCAGGATGTTTTTCTTGGAACTATGGGACTAAACTGCCTATCATAATTTTCTCGTGCTTATCATGAAATAGTGCAGCTTTTCAACATTGTAGCCATTTTGTTTTGGTTTGAACTTGAATTTATAAGGATTATCATTCCTTCTCGTGACTAAATGTGATTGACCAAGAGTGATAACTGCTGTGAGTTTCCAACAAACAATGGACATGGTGTTAATGTTGATATTGATGAAAGTTTTAGTAGGTAGTGATAGCTACTATAGTGGGAGATGAAAATCGTGATGATAGGCAACAATGGGAAATGGTAGGTCATCTGCTTGCTTGATCTATAGGATCTTCAAAGAAATTTTTTAAGTCTTTGTAAACTGACGTTTTTGTGCTTCTTTTTTTTAAGATGCCCTTCTTTAGACGTCTCTTCATAGCCATTATTTTTCATGGGAAAGGCTTCTCGCTTATACTTTTGGAATTCTTGTGCGATAAAAAAACTTTATGATCTTATTTGTCATTTCAAGAGAATTAATTCATTTGTTTTTATATAGGTCATTGGTTGGTCGATGTGGTTTACAGAATATCTCTTTTTGGAGAGGAGTTGGGCCAAGGATGAAGACACGTTGAAGGCATAATGTTACAATGAATGATGTCTTCTTTCTGGAATTCTTTTTATTCTCTAGTTTATATCCTCATTTTACGTTGCAGTCAGGTCTCGAAAGACTGAAGGACTTCCCTCAGCCGTTTTGGCTGGCACTTTTTGTTGAAGGTACCCGTTTCACGCCTGCTAAACTGCAGGCTGCCCAAGAATATGCAGCTTCACAGGGTTTACCAGTTCCGAGAAATGTGTTGATTCCTCGCACTAAGGCAGGCTATTTATTTCTTTCTATTCCTTGTTTAAGGAGCACTGCTGATTTCTGTGTTACTTTCTTGTGTCCCCTAAATCAACTGCAGTCCTTTTAACTTTTATCACCAAAACTTTACTGAACTTCTAGTTGTTGAATTTGATGATTTTATTTTCTGAATTTTGGTGTTCCAAGTTAACACCGTTGTTCATAATTTTATCATTCATGCAGTGTTACGTTTGTCTTGGTTCTGACAAAGGTCCAAAGTTATACCTGTCTTGCCAGAATTCTGCTTCTAGCTGGTTTAAACTACTAATTTGGAGTGTCATTTAATGCTTAAATGGCGTTTTTGTGATTTTCAGAGCTTCTCATTTCTGTTTTTTTCAATTTTAAACTTCTAGATTTATGGTTGTAACTTCCTATTTGAGTAATGCTGAAGTTCTTTCTCAAAGCATATAATGGCTTTTCGGGTTTTGTAAAGTGAATATTCAATTTTGATGTTTCAATAAGCTGTTTGCTGAAGGAAGCAAGTTTCCGGCTGATTGAGTTTAAGCTCAATTTTTCTACTTTTTGGTATTGTCTTGTAATTGGTGCGCATTACTGCATTCTTTGTCTGTCATGGTTCTATTGTTCCTTTTGATTTTTCATTCTTGCTCTTACATTCTCTATTGTTATTTCTTTCCTTGGATAATCCTAGTGTACATCTGAGCTTTTTTTGTAGATTATCTACTCTTTTCTGGATAATTGCTTCTAGTATTTTCAGCAATTTGATGAGAAATATAATTGGCTTGTAATTTATGAAGTGCATTGCCTGATACCCTAGGGGAGTTTCTAAGGTTGCAGGGCTTTTTTTAGTGCTAAACTAACTAAAAGAATATTTAATGCATTTTTTTGTGCGGCTCAATTATTTGTTATACTTCAATTAGTTTAAGGTTTACATTGTGGCAAATAAACCGTCACTACAATCTTTTTTGTATGCCTTGTATAGTAAAGGTTAAAATTTTTCACGAGAGAAAATGGTTAAAATGGTCTTTAGATTACTCACATTAGATCATTTTAGTATGCAATGAATTTAGTTTCTCGACTTCTCAAATATGATTCAAAAGAGCTAATGTTAGATTATTTTGCTTCAGGTTTGAGATTTAAGGGCCTATTTTGGATAATATTTAAAGTGTCAAGTAGCTTAATTGGACTCGTTTTGTATTATGGAACTAAAATAGCTTTACATAAATAGTTTAGGGATCATTTTCATCTTTTTCTTTTTTCTATGATTTCGATTTTCTTGAATAAATTTGAATTTCTTTTGGGATTTGAAAGTTTTTTTAAACTGCTCTTTCCATTTCAGGGATTTGTTTCAGCTGTAAATAATATGCGATCATTTGTTCCTGCCATTTATGATGTGACAGTAGCAATTCCTAGAGAAAAGCCCGCCCCAACTATGCTCAGAATTTTGAAACGGCAGCCTTGTCAGGTATGATTTACAGCATTTGTGAGGTATACGGGTCATTCTTTATTTCCTCATTCAAATACGGTCTTCAACATACATTTGGTACCCGCTTTTGGTAGAATTGTAATTAGTCAATAGTAGATACTGTTAGGATTCTTGAGCATTGCAGTACTGGTGAGACAAAGGTTATCTTGCCTATCATATTTGCTTTTTTGTTATTTTATTTTGAACTATTTCATGGATATTTTACGGTCAATAGTAGATACTGTTAGGATTCTTGAGCATTGTAGTACTGGTGAGACAAAGGTTATCTTGCCTATTATATTTGCTTTTTTGTCATTTTATTTTGAACTATTTCATGGATATTTTATACTTTTTTCCTTGCTAATGGTATTGGTGGATCTTATATGTATGTATGTATGTATGTATGTGTGTGTGTATATATATATATATATATATATAGTTTGTATGGGTGGGCCTAAACACCCAACCCACACGATACAACACACAAAAAAAAATGTAAAAGATAGGTACATATAGAAATAAAAAGAAACCTAAAAACCACCCGGACGCTGAAAAAGTGTGGGTCATCCCAATCTAGTCCTGTCTCTGGCTCTAGTTCTCGGTAGGGATTCAACTAGCAGATTGGTAAGGTGCTGACCATTACCCGTAGTAACCAAAGTATTATTCGTAAGTCTCCTGAGCTCTAGTAGATCTTCATTCTTCTTCTTCCTACTGGAAGTGTAAACCTGTCATTCCTCCGAAGAATCTGTCTGATGGGGTAGAGCTGAAGCAGAAGGATTACCAACAGTAATACCTACAATAGGTTCTACAATATGTGAAATATGAGTTGTTGCTACACCGGATACTTCTTGAAGAAGTGGAGCTGTGAAACTCTCCTGATTATCAGTCTGAACACTATCATTTATAGGTAATAGTCTATTAGTATTGTTTTTTATGGAGTTTGTAGGTGCCAGCTGTCGGTTAACTTTTTGCTTAGATTTATTTTATTATTTAAAAATATGAATATGAAAATAATTTTTAAAATTTAATTCACTAAAAGAGATATAGTTTGTTTAGGTTTTGAAAGTAGTATGTTTTAATTTTAAAAAAAATGAGACCAAATGGATCTCATTCGTCCAATAGTTTGCATAATCATGCCTGACACCCTGAATACTACACATTCCAAGAGAAAAGTGTAGACCCCGATAATGAGCCCAATCCTGCAAACTAAGAGATTTGTGACATCCATTTGGTCAGCGAACCTTTTATATATGACCGACAAATTTCCCTATTTAATACAAAAATTAAATAGAATTTATTTTACCTGGGTTCCAAATTCCCTATAGAGTCAAGCCCCTATAGTTAATTACATCCCAAGTGACGGGAATCACTTGAGAAAACTCTCGATAATGATCGGTGGTTCTAGTCTTCAAGATTCCAAGATTTAGGTTTTCACGGTAGGGCGTGAAAAAACAAGTGAGAGTGACTCAAGTAGGAACAGTTCTTTCAGGAGTTCAATGGAATTAAAGGGTAGAGGATGTCACAGATTCTGAGGAGAACTCTCAGGGACTTCCCTTCCCAAACTATCCTACTGTGTGGCTGCATTTTATTTTAGAGGTTATTTGAATGTTTAATCCTGTCAATTTTATTATTTATGACTTACATTTGCATAATACCCGATTATGCAAATAGCCCACAGAGATAAAAGGATTTACGTCGTGTCACATGACAACCTCGGAACCTAAGGCGGGTTAGGACTTACGCTGCACAACATGATTGTACAGAAGCCTAAAAGAGGGTGAGGTTTTACGTCGCTCTAGACGAGCCACCTCAAAGTCCTATAGGTTGTTTAACTAGGAAAGTTTAGTTGGTGTAAACTCATTCTGCTGTTGTAGAATGACGACCACCTTCACCTGTAGTTCGCTCCAAACTCTTGTTGTGCTGCCTCTTGCTGTGCTGCCTATGAAGTTGCTCCGAGTTCCTCGTCGCAGTAACAGTCCTAAAGTCTAAAGCTCAAATAGTTTTACCATGTGTGTTTCACTGTCTCAATTTGGTTGTCATTGGGGGGTTTAAGTTGATTAGAGCGACATCGATTAGGATCCCACGGTTCCCTCGTTCCGGTATCACTATTTTCTTTTGAGCTTACTTAGTTTAAACTAGTTGTGAAACCCATTTAAACCGCATTAGCAACCGTGGGTTACCTCCTCCGAGGGACTCCCGTAAGTTCGAAAGAACGTGTTATGTTTTTTTTTTTTGAAAATGTTGTTTAATTTTGAAAAATCGTTTTATTTTGAAAGTGAGATTGCATTCAGTACCTGCATAACGTGTTAGAGCAACAATAATTGCAATAAAGAAACAACAACAAATAAAATGTACCTGCGTACGTGGCGTATCTGCTGCTGCTATCCCTGTTGCATGTTCAACTCACAAAGCACAATATAATTTGCAGGCAATTTAAATAAATTGCAGAGAAAAGAAGAAAACAGTAAACAATTGAACAAGTTGTAGCAATAACAAGAAACTCAAAAGAGGTTATCCTAAGGCCTCCTACAACTCCTTACTGTGACTAGCGAGCTAGTATGGTGATCCTACGATCTCCTACGGCTCCGGTAAGCAACTAGCAAATGTATACAGTGATCCTACGACTCCGGATAGCAGCTAGGAACTTCGAATAGCACTTGTATGAGTTCTTATGAACCCAAACAACAAAGGGCAGCACCTATACGGCTTCCTACAAACCCGAACAGAGGTGGGCAGCAACTAGAAGCATCGTACAACGATCCTACAGCTCTTACTGCTCAGGGCAGCAATAAGAAGCGTTGGACAGCGGTACTACAGCTTCCTACGACACTAGACATTAAGTAGAAACATTGGACAACACCCTACAACGCTTCCTACGACACTGGGCAACAACTAACACTCCAAATCATTAATTTAAGCACATGGCAGCACTCCTACAGCACTCTACAGTGATTGACAACTTCAAATAGCATTTAAATGGAACATAAAATCCTCCAAAACAATGATAAACCATCCCGAAGCGGTACATTAAAAGACTCCTAGAAAACTGCAGCGAAGCATCCTCCAAATCACCTCAAACAGCTAACATGTATTTAGAATAGCTGAAAATAATTTCAGCAAGTTATAAGACCTCTCCCAATCAGGTGCATATATTTGCTAGCGTCACTTTCAATGGGGATTCATACCTAGCTGCAGTTACTTCTAAGACATCATTCATTCATAAATTATTTAACTTGGATGGCCCTTTCTGCCCTTCCCCATACCAGACAACTTTATTCCAGAATTACTTCTACGTAAATCAAGACAACACCTTGTCTCTCCTTTACTTTGTGACATAATGCAAATCTATCGGGAGAAGAAATTACATGCATGAATAATAAATTTTTTTAAAGGTGGATGAGTAAAAAAAAAAAAAAAAAAAAACTCAAATCTCATAAATCCTTTTTCTGAATCTGAATAAATCCTTTTTCTGAATTGGGAAATCTATGATTTAAGGTAATGATTTAACAATAGCAAAAGAATCACCTTGAGATTTGAATTAAATTTTGCCCAAAACCAGCTATCAAACAATCAGCTAGAGTTTAGGCTGAGGGGCCTCGATGCAGGGAGGCTGAAATGAGTGAAGTTCCTGATTGCGAGAATGAAGAGGAGCGGAGAGGCTTCTGTCGCGCAAAGAAGAAGTGAGGCGGTCGAGAGAACTTTGGTCGCGCGAGAGATGAGCAAGGAGCTTCGGGGGAAGACAGAAGCCGAGCGGGGACTTCGTTCGATGCAGAGGAAGGAGAGATGAGAGGGAGAGCTGAATTGCAGGAGCGGGAGATTGGTATCAGAGCCGAATCGAGCGAACCAGGGAATAAGAAGGCGAGCTGATGGGGTCGGTCTCCGGGAGTGAGATGACGAAGGCTTTGTTCACGGAGGAGGCGCGACTTCGTCGTGTGGAGAAAGGGGAAGAAGGCGAGTCGCAGAGGAACATACGGGAGACGGGATCGAACTTTGCGGCTTCGGTGCGGGAGACAGGAGAGAGCAAGCGACGGTCTTCGGCGTAAGGAGGAGGCGAGCGGGCGAGCAGGTGTTCGGGGTCGAGCGGAGCAGGTGTCGAACAAAGTTTGTCGAACGAAGTTTCTATCAAGCTGGGGGAGTCTTCAGTCGAGTGCGACCAGGGAGCGAGGGTCTCTGTCGAGCGAGATCGAGCAGCAGCCGGAGGAGCAGGCGTTCGGGAAAGGCAGAGCAGCGGAGGCGAGGATCTCTGTCGAGCGAGATCGAGCAGAAGCAGGAGTTTTGCGAGCGAAAGAAAATGAGCAGGAGCTCGGGAAGACGAGCGGGGCAGGCGAGAATCTTCAGCGCAGTGAAGGATGCTTCGTCTCTTCTTGTTGAGAGGGATCTAACAGAGAAATCTCGAGAGAGGGAGAAGGCGATCGGGAGAGAGGATCTCGGGGAGGCGAATCCAGCCGACCGCAGAGGAAAAAGGCCCGCCTTCCTTTTAGAATTCGAGTCAGGAGCCGTTACTCTGGAAGCAGTTGGCAGTGAAATTAATGAATTCTAAATGCAGGGAGAGAAAATAATAACACCTGCATTAATTTTGATTAAGACAAAATTAAATAATTCACCTGAATTTTGAAATTTGAATTTCAAATTCAGGTGAGATGGTGCCTAGCCCGTGTTCAGCTCGATTCCAGCCTGAATCAAACCCGAGTCGGACCTGAGTTGAGCCCGGGCCTGCGCACAGCGGGCCTGCCCACAACTAAAAAAAAGGTACATCGATATCCGTGCAGTTCGCGCGAGTGTGGAACCACATTAATAAGGGTGTCATTCCTAGTTAAAGTCGGCGTTCCGGACGCGTCGACGCGGTCCGTTTCATCATTTTCATCATTTGGGGTCGTAGGTACGAGTTTGCCGGCGGACGAGTCAAATCAAGTCAAAGTGGTGTGTGGTGCAGTGAGTACGCAAAATGCGGCGTTATCGAGTGTTCGGGTCTCGAAAGAGTTCCTTAGGGGCTGCTCCTATTAATGTAGGAACTCGACTCAAGTTTCATGTGTCGATCCTAATCAACTCAACGGATTGCCGAGGATTTGAAACCGCCCATGTGAAACTCGAGTGAGTGACGAGGTGACTTGAATTTTCTAATTGGTGTGGGTTCCGTACTAGTCCTCTAAGAGGGTCGAACAGGGAAAGCCAAAAGCTAAACCCTAGGCTCTAAGGAGAGACAAAAAAGACCTCATCCAGAAATGAGGTCAACACCAACATCGAAGTGTCATGGGGGGTCCTCGGGTGCAACAAACACCTCCTGTCTGGTAGTATCCTCATGTGAAACTAAAATATCCAAAGCAGTGGGGTTAGACCCATCCTTGTTCACTTGAATCCTAGATTTCAAACTAGGATGAAATTTATGGCATTTAGCAAGGATATGACCAAACATCTTACAGCGGGTACAATATGGGTGTTCCGTGATGATTTTTTGCCAATATCCATTATGAGTTGTGCCCAACCAGACTTCAGTAACATCAGGTAAAGTAATATCTCTAAATCTTTTCACAAGTATTCTGACCACCGAGGGTTTGGTTAGGTTGAAAGTAGACAGATCTAGTTTCAAAGGATCCCCAATGATGACCCCAATAGAGTAGAGAACCTGATGGTGAAAAAAATGCAGCTTGAGACCAGGTAAATTAAACCATACCGGTACAGTGGGAGTTTCATGATTTGGGTTGAAATTTGGAGACCACTTGAGTAACTTCATTGATTTGCCTTCGATATTAAATATTTCTTGGAGAAAATTCTGGTGTAGTATTCAATCACTGTTAGTTGGATCAATACATATCTCCTATCCATGAGTCTCACTTTTCACTTGCCTACTAGCTTAAGATCATCAGCACTCTTTCTGATAACATCCATAGGAGGTTGTCCCCACTGAAATTTTCCAATAAGAGCAAACTTGAATTTTTCCGTCATGGTAGAAATTTCTGATTCAGAGAAAAAGATTGCTGCTTTTTTACCTTTCCTACTTCCCTTCTTAATAAAATGACAATCATCTGACAATCATATGTGCCCTCACGAGATTCCTTATAACTTGAGGGGAATCCCACTGCGGACTCCACTTGAGGATTATCCACCACTGCGGATTCCACTTGAGGGTTATCCACCATGTGGGTAAATGAGACTTTGTCCATTGTCTGGCTCAAGCAAACAAGGAGGCGTCATCTGAGCAAGGAGAGCTGTCGGCGTTGAGCTACAGTGAAGAACAGTGAATGACGAGCGGCTCTGTCACAGACGCTAGAGGCCGAAGACGAACGCGTCGAGCGGCTCGCTCTGTCAGAAGAGACCGCGTCGAGCGGCTCTGTCAGAAGACAAATGGATCAAGAGGCTCAGTCAGAAGCGAACGTGTCGAGCAGACGCGAATGCATCGTCGTCGAGACGAGCCGAAGAAGACGAGCGTGAAGGGAATTCGACGTCTTGCCCTAGTCGTTCGAAGGAAGGGAGGATGCGAGTAGCTTCGTGCGTGAAGGTGGAGAACCGATTGAGCCTTGAAGCGAAGAACCGGCCCAACAAACCCTATTCGAGCGGCTCTGATGCGGGTGTCACAACATATATATATATATATATCCAAAACTTCATTGTTTGGTAATTCCTTATCTTGATTGGAGTCAGGTGAAATTGGAACATGTTTAGTTGCTTGCTTTAAGGAAACAATGGTGTGTTTAGTACTTTTCATACGATTACATCACTTTAGGTGTGAATTCACTAATATGATTTTATTTGTTAGCGGTACGAATTGAAAATCATCATAATTACATATGTGTCTTTGTATATTAGATGATTCTACAATATTTAGCTGTCTTTGTGTGTGATAATTTATTGCAAAATAGGAAAATACTAATGAAGGTTTCTTATGCTCTTTTTTGGAGATTTATTATGCTTGCATATGGTGATTTATTTGAAGTTTTGAAACCACTGCTAGACATGGAATAAGCTTTGTAATGTAGCTAAAGATTTGAAGTAGAGAAGAAAAGGATTGGGAGAGATTTTATTTAGGATTATGGCAAGGTTGCATAAAAACATTTGGATCTCGCTTACCCAAAATCAGCAGACTCACTCGTGAAAGAATAATCATCCAATCTCTTAACCGAGCAATTTTTAAATAAATATTTGAAACAATCGCTAAATATTCGTAATACAAGTGGGTGTATAGTATAAGAGAGCATGAAGCGGGGTGTCCACTCCCCAGACGCAGAAAATGCTGCAATCTTTTCCCCAGACCGGTTTGGTCCTAGCAAAGGAGGGACGTGCCGGTTCTTCCAGGCATGGTTTCCCTCCTATTTTGAGCGGGGTCCACTATTCTTTACCCCAGGTCAATAAATATGTTGTTTTTGTGTTTTAGTAAAATTTTTTTATTGTGTTTCTGTCATGACAGCTATCGGCGTCTCAAGTTTTCCGTTGTAGGGCTGTATCCAAGTTCAAGCAGTGCTCCGGCTGTATCTCGTATCGAGGGGGTGATTATCCTTGACTCTTCCGTCCTTCGCAACCCTCAGCCATCATACCATCTCTTACTGCAGGATCCCCGTGACAGTCCTTGCTGTATCCCTGCAACCGCAATCCCCCAAATCTGCTGCAGCCTCTTTCCTGCTGTTCCCCTGGTACCGTACCTTCCCAACCTTGCCACAGCTTCCCTCTTTGCTGTCCCCTGCGGCTGCAGCCCGCCCAGCCTTGCCGCAACTAACCCTTGCTGTCCCCTGCAACTGAAGCCCTACACTCCTGCCTCAATCCTCTTTTTTGCACACATCTGTTCTCCCGCACTATCGACCATTTCCCCAACTTGCTACCCTTCTACCTGCCAGCCCACCTTTCCATTATTTATCCTTAAACTGCATCATCATCACCCTTGATCTATGCCCTAAGTTTGAGTCCGTGTTGTGTCTTTTTGTTATTTCTTACTTTTAAATGTGTTGCTTGTAATATCTATTTGATTATTTTAGAAAGAAAGGCTTGTAGAAACTTTTGATGTTTGTTTTGACCATAAGTACCAAATTATTTTATGCCCTTCTTATCGATGACCCTATATTTATTGGTGATTATTGGATGTCTTTCTTTTAGTAAGTTTGATTGCTAGTTGTCCGCCAAACAAGAGCATTGGGAGACTTTTTGATAAAAGAGTGAGTACCCTTGACGAGTTCTTATTACAAGAACTTTGAGGGAGTACTAGTTAGAAACTCAAGTCAATTGATGAATATTTTGGCTAAATAGTCTAGACTCTCTTGAAAGTAGCTTGGACGAGTAGGCAAATTCGTCAATCCTTGAGTTGATGAGTTTCATCTATATGCGAGCAGAGGCTTTGGATGACTTCAAGCTTGGTGATTCCTGAGTAATTCACAACTTATCTGATTCATCATCAACGAGTTGGTGAACCAATTTTGGGATCTTAGGATGAATTGATCATTTTGATCCAAGCAAAATCGGGTGTACATCATGCAATACTATGTTGCCAAAATTTTTTCTGTTGTATTATATGTGTTTTTGGGTGTTAAATATTGATGGATATTATCTTAAGAATCACTTTTACTTGATTCGATAATATAGTAGTATCAGTGACCTGAACTGTGCTACTTCATCGAAATGACTGAAGCTTTTATTTTTTTATGGATCTGGGTAAATTTCCCCCCTATTAAGTTCGATTCCTTTTGAGTTTGGAAGTTGACTAAGATAATTGTATCATCTTATCTGCAAAAGATGTTTCTGAATACCCTAGTTCTTCAGAATTTGCCCTTGGCACTCTTTGTGACCCTTTGACATTTAAATTCTTTGGTTTTCAGTGTTTTTTTTTTGAGTCATTCGTGCAACTATCTCTTGGAAACTCAGTATGTTGAGGACATGATGAATTTCGTAAATTTTTTATTCGTTAGCTAATGTTGATGTATTTTGGGTTTTTTTTAATATTTAGCTGCATATGATGATTGTCTTAACATATCATCATTCTTCACGTTTTACAAGCTAATTATCTCTTGTGCGTATTAACTCACCCCTACTTCTTCTTTCTTGATCTAATCACCTATATTAGAACTTATGGGATTACCTCATATTAGGACTTAATGGATCTAAATCAAGTGCTAAGACTAATCATCAAGTTCTTCATCACTACCATTTTGTGATAGTTATTTGTCCGGACTAAGTTGCAGTATTGCTTCTTTAGATTAAACAAATTGATTGTTAAACTTAGTTCATCACCTCCAACTAAATTACTGGTTATCTTTTAGACCATAATCTGTCAGTTTTTACTTTGTGTTTGTACATCAGGATTCCCATGTCACAGGCTGAAGGCAAGGTAGATTATAATCATTTTTTTTATTTCACATCTTGTTGTCTTTATAGACAACTGATCATACTGGAGATTTTGATACTCCCAGATCATGTTGCAATTCGACCTCTTTTGGAATTTGATATTTGCACGTAAATTCATTCCAATCATGTTGCACTACCAAAATTCATGCGGCATAGTGAATATCCTTCAGGAGTAGTTTCCATTTGTGTCGCCCTTTTCCATGAACAGTATTTTCAATTTGTCAGTTTTGATAATTGTCATTTGATTTTATTTCTTATTTTTCATTTAGATCCATGTTCACCTGAAGCGACGCCCCATGAATGAAGTGCCTGCGACAGATGAAGCAATAGCTCAGTGGTGCAGAGACATGTTCATGGCAAAGGTGCTTAGTTATTATTTTGCTATTAGAATGAAGTATTATGCACCCACGCAAGTATGAAACATGCACTCCTGTGTATTTTTTATTAAAGAAAGCTCAATAACTGAATGTAATTTGAAGCACTCCTTTGCATTTATACAACTTCCTTGTGGTGCAAACTTGACAACGTTTTATTTGTCTTTCTTCTTAACAGGATTTTTTATTGGATAAGCATCTAGCCCAAGGCACTTTTGGTGAAGAAGATTATAAACCCATTGGTCGTCCTCTCAAGTCCTTGCTGGTAAGAAATTATTAATCCTGCTGAGATTTTCCCTGAAAAATAAATAGGTGTGGTTATCTTGTAGGATAGCTTCAATAATTAGTGTTTAAAGATTTGCAGGATGTGTATTTTGTTAATATACATACTACAAGGTAAAGGAAAGAAAATCAGAGGAATGGAATAAAAACGTGCATGGGCGATGAGAAGGCTCCAAGTTGAAATTATGTCCTCAAGTATTTTATTTGGTTTTTAAAAATAGTTAGAGAGAAAATTTTTTTTCTAGGAATTTCACAAACTTGAAAAAGAAATCGAAAAAGTGGATGGGCGGTGAGAATGCTCCATTTTGAAATGGCATGCTTATTATTTAACTTCAAAAGTTTGCAAGATGGAATGATTCTCATCCAAGAATTTTGAATTATGACATTCTTGGAGAGTCTTTTCCATCTCCTTCAAGATTTTCAATCTTAAAAATAAGAAGTAGACAATTTCAAAATGAGGCCAAAGTATAGCATCCATTTAAGATACATGGTTGAACTAACAAAATCTTTTGAAATTAATTTTTAGTGAATGACATTTAAATTTGAGCATATTATTTTTGAAGGCATATTTTTACTTTGTTGACATATTTGATTTTTGATGATACACAAAAAGAAATTCATATTTTCACTTAAGCCTGTTTGTTTATTTTATAACAAATGATAGTAGATGAGAAAAAAAGCGAATAGGCAATAAGAAAGCCTAATTTTGAAATGTGGTCGCTAAGTTAGTTTTAGATTTTAAAAGTTAGAAAGAGATGAAAATCATCTCATCCAATAGTTTCAATTATTTGGATAAAATAGTTTTTCTCTTTTACAAAAATTTTAAATCTAGAATCTAAATTCTTAAAAAAAAATGATCATCAATTTAAATTTTTTTAGTGTTTAAGATTCACATTCAATAAATGTGAATATATTTGTAATAATTTGATCAAATCTCAATCAAGCAAATAATATGAATCATAAATTAATGTTTCAAAAAATGTGCAAGCATGAGTTGCCAAATTGGGGATTAGGCTTCACGCAGATATAAGGAGTAGTATCATGATACAAATTGGAGCCCAAATCAGTGAGCAACTTGCTGTAGATATGTGGGAAAATCCAGCTAGGACTAGTTTGATTAATATCAAAGCAAACAAGATATAAGGGGTGATCTATAATTCGAGAGGTAGATCATCTCTTTACAAACTCTAGGTGGCTCTAAAAACACAAAGACAAAAGAAAGTGCAACAAATCAATACATAAAGCAAACCCTAGCTAATTAGTCCAAATGAATACTCCCCAAGATCCATTCAAACTTCCCCCCCAAATTCCTACTTAATTCCCCTCCTCTTATACGTGATTAATGGCTACATGTGCCCCACTTGGAAGCCGGAATCGTCATCAGTAGCTCCTAGGCTTCTGCCCCGCTAAGTTGGGCCGGCCTGGCCAAGCCAGGTTGGCTGGGTCTAACCTGTCCAGATCAATCTTCCCTAGATTAGCTCATCTGTGGCAGAAGCAGGTGTATTAACACTCTCCTCCCAAAGAAACGAATTATACTCAAGGTGGAATGATTAAAACTGCTTTTGTATCACTTCCGACGGCTTCGACATTGCGTCATACTCTGGCAGATCTTTTAACTCAATCATTACCTTTTTTACTCTAGACACTCCTCAATGCACTCTTTCGACTTCTAAGGGTTTCAAAAGTACCTCCATATTCTCTATCAGTGTCAGAGGTAGTGAAGGCGATGGTGTATGATATTCGATAACATGTCTCAGTTGCGAGACATTAATGACAAGATGCAGTAATGATGATGGCGGTAACCTCAAACGATAAGCCACCGCTTCAATGCATGTTGTAAACTCATAGGATCCAAAATATCGTGGAGAAATTTTCTCACTCATGGCCAATATCTTTTGTCGATAAGCTCTCAACTTCAAATAAACCGAATTCCCAGACTTAAATTGTACCTCCCTCGTATGTCCATCTGTCTTACTCTTCATAATCTGTTGAGCCTTTAGTAAATGCCCTTTGAGCTTCACTAATATTCATTCTCTCTCCTTCAAGTACTGTGGTGCACTCTAGATAACGGGGCAGTATTATGTTCATAATGTAATAGGTGAGGCGGATCCCTCCCATACAATATTTTGAAAGGGTGGTCTATGCCACAATATGGTACAAAGTATCGCCGATACTCAGCTCAAGCAATTTATTTGGCCCAAAATTTTACTATATTTGATACAAAACAATGCAATATGTCTCCACACTTTCGTTGACCACCTCTGGGCCATCTATTTGAGGATGATATGTTGTGTTTCTTTTTAGGACTGTCTCTTGTAACCTGAACAGTTCCTTTTAGAAGTGCTTGAGAAACAAAACACCTTTGTCTTTATATGATACAATAGATTCTAGAACACCATGCAGACGAATCACTTACTGTATGAACATCGTAGCGATTGAGACAATAATGTGAGGAAGTCATAATAGAATGAAGTGTGCCTACTTGTTCAGGCGATTCACTACCAACAATATCACCGTAAAGCCTTATAATTGTGACAACTCCTTTGAAATATATCGTCACTTCCTCCCAAATCTTCTTAGGTAATGTTAGGGGCTGCAGTAATCCTCATGGCACCATAGTCAAATACTTGTGTCGTTGGCGAACATCGCACCTTGCCACCATGTCCTCTATATCTTTGTGCATCCCCACCCAATATATCTTTGTCGATAGTCGACATTATGTTTTATGTACCATTGAGTGCTCCCTACCCTAGTCATGCTATTGCAAAATTCATGCAATAATTTGTGAATGTACCCCGATGCCCTTGGTAACGCGAATCGTTCTTGGTAGAGTAGCTGTTGGCCCCTCAACATGTATCTTGGATGACTGTTCGAATCCTATAGCAACTCTACCCTTATCTTCCTCAGCCATTCGTCTCACTCGCTCTCCCGGCTTAGGTCTTCCCCACTAGGATCGATGGTATTGAGAAAGCTATCAGCAGTGGCTTCTTCATCTTCCTTGATAGTGCATCTATAACATTATTTTCCAATCCTGACCGGTAATAAATCTTAAAATCATATTCAAGTAACTTGGATAGCCACCATTGATGCTCCTTCATCACCATCTTTTGCTCCACAAATAATTCAAGCTCCATTGATCTGTATTAACTATAAAGTGTCGCTCTAATAGGTAGGACTGCTGCTTCTGATGGTCAAAACAATAGCTATCAACTCTTGCTCATACATCCCCTAGATACTCTACCTATGACTATGCAAAGGAACATTTCTTCAATTTAGCGTACAACTGGTGCTCTCTCAATATCTCCAAGACTGTTTCCATGTGCCCATATGCTCTGCTTTTATTTGATTGTAGATCTGGATATCATAAAAAAAAGCCAGTATAAATTTTAAGAGGCAAGAATGAATAACCCTATCCATTAGAAACTAAAAATGCCCAGAGCGTTGGTAAGGCCAAATGAAATCACAAAAACTCGTAATGTCTATTGAATGATGTCTTATGCACATCAGCTAAATTTATCCCATTCTGATGTTATGCCAACTTCAGATCAATTTTTGAGGAGATGTCTACTCCATAAAGTTCGTATAATGGCTCATCAATCAATGGAATATGAAACTTTTATAGTACAATTTCTTTGTTCAAGGTCTTATAGTCCACACAAAATCACCAAATAACATTCTTTTTATTCACCAAGAGAATTGGACTGGAAAAGAGGCTCACAGTGGCTCTGATATTCTCTATTTTCAGCATTTCACGAATCAATTTCTTTGTTCCAGAATCACATTAGTGCTTCCCAAGTCCAAAGGAAGGAAACCATCCGCCACCTGTAGGCTCTGTATTGTCAACACTAATCCCCTACGAATTCCCCAATTTTTCTCAGCCTTTCCCATTCCCTTCATGATCCCAAAGCTTCTCGTATCTACCAACTTCAATCCTAACTGGTCCACAACCCGATTGGATATGCAATTGTGAGTGGCCTCACCATCCACCAACACCACTACCGGCTGCTCCCGATCTATCCCCTCAACTTCATGATATGATTTGGAGTAAATGCCACAACTAAGTTGAGGGACACCTCTGCTACATCTAAGTGCAAGTGCTTCCCCTCCACCATTTCTTCCTTCGACTCCTCACTACCGGCCTTCTCCCCCTCATAAACTAGAAAGATCTGGAGCTTGCACTCCTTGCACCAGTGGTCTAAGGCATAATTTTCATCACATTGAAAACTTAATCTCTTTCTGTTTTACCTTGCATCTATGCCTCTGTGCGACATTTGAAATTGACCCCGAGATAGGCCCCTATATTCCTCTACCTCTACTTCGGTACCTCCTTCTGAAATGACACCGTATTGGTCCTCAGTGTCATGGCTGTCGAGGTACTCTTATGGAATCTTCTAGTGAAGCCGCTTTTGTTGGTCTTCTTTATCTGTTTCTTTTCTTCCACCATATGGGCTAGCTCCATCTTCTCCATTAATCCCCGTGGTCTCAATGGCCGAAGTGTTGTCGGTGTGTCGGGCTTTGATCCCTTCATGAAGTTTCCCTCCAATCTTGCTTCAGAAATTCCCCTAAGAGTTCCGATAGTAGCTTGAATATCTCCTTATACTCCATCACATTTCTCTCATGAGTAAAGACATAGAATTGCTCGTGTAGGTCTTCTTCCCGAGTGGCTCGAAAATATTTCAATAAGCAATCCTTAAATTCCTCCCATGAACGGATCTGGTATCTCGCCACACTTTATTGAAATCATGTTAAGGCTTTCCCCTTCAAATATCACTCTGCCACCATGAGCTTCTCTTCACCATTTAGCCCATTCACTGTGAAGTATCGCTCCACCCGATACAACCGCCCATGTGCATATTCCCTTTTGAAGATCAACATCTTCAACTTCTCAACCCTAGCATCACCATCCCAACTTTCACTCCCTCCGATGTTTACTACCATGTATCTAGGGTGAAACTCTCTCCTTCGATCATAGTAACCATTCTA